CGCCAAGTATTTCAGACTGGCCCTGAACTCCCGACACTCTGCGGTGTCATGGGTGGGAGTTTGGTGCCAGTCGCACCATTTTCGATCTTCCTCCCTTCTATGCGTCTGACGCGCATTGCTGTTGTCGCCCCTTCTTTCTCTCCCTTCTTCTTTACTAGCGGTGTAAACTTCTCTTCGATTGTCGCGGTGAGAAAACCGCGGCTTATAGCTGCGTTTCTCTGGAGACCGCCCTCTTCCCTTGGGCGATCCTCCTTTCTTCTTCTCCGGTCTTTCCCTCGTGCTGACATGCTTAGCGGTGTCCTCCATTATCATGGCCTCTTCCAGCAGGATCGCCTTCCGCACTAAGCGGTCCAGATCAGGCCATTCTCTCAGTGCATGCTCTTTTTTTATGAGCGCTCTCCGCAATTCGCAACTGTGTGTGGACATTCGTAAGTTCCCCGCTGCTACGCTTGGCGATATCCCTAGCACTTCACAAGCTATGGCGTTCCACCGGTCGTAGAAATCGGTCAGCGTCTCTTCTCCGCCTTGCTTGCAGTTGATTAGGGCGGAGATGGTTAGCTTCCTCCTTCGCTGGGATGCAAACTTGGAGGAGAAGAGGGTGGCAAACTGTTCAAAATCCTCGATTATTCCCTCGGGAAGGGAGGTATACCAGGTTCGACAATGCCCTCCAAATGTGACTGGGAACGCTTTGCACAGATCGGCGTCTGTGGCATTGATGAGTTGCATCTTCAGTATGAAGGTGCTCAGGTGGTCGGCGGGGTCAGAGCTTCCGTCGTAAGTTGGCAGCCCGAGTGATGAGAAGTTCGGTGGTACTTGAGTTTTAAACAGACTTTTGGCCAGCGGGTTTTGTAAGATGTGGTGGGTCTTTGCGCCCCCATATGTGGGCTTTAGATGTTCTTCCAGGAACCCAAGGCTGTCGTCTCCTGCTCTTTCCTCTTTGTCTGACTCCCCGCCTTCTGTCGGAGCAGGGCTGTCGGGTTCTTTCTCTCTTCCTTTTCCTTTGGCTGCTCGTTTCTCCGAACTTTCTGGGGCCTCCCCTTCCTTTTCTCTGAGCATGGCAAGGATTTGGCTCAAACTCTCTTGCATGCTTGATATCTGCTGCCCTTGGCTTTTCACGCGGTCCTCCATCTCCATCTCTTCCTCCACCACGGGCATTTCCATCCCGCGGAGACTTCCCGCCGCGATCTCTTGGCTGCGGAAGCCATCTCCTCTGACCACGTCTTTGACAGGAGTATTGGAGCTCCCGTCCATCCTTTCTTCAGTGTCTTTCCCGCCCCACGGTGGGCGCCAAATTGTTTATGCCTAGAATGTTCTCGGCGGTTGAGTGCAGGGCAAGCAAGACGTCTGTTCCAGATGAAGGGCGTACTCCAATTCCTGCAAAACAAGGGTCCGTGGGCGGTTCCCCGGACACCCTCCGATGCTTAAGTTAGAGAGAGAAGTAAGAAATGTTGTTTAGGTTTAGATAGAGAGAGAGTAGTTGAGTTACCATTAATGCCGATACCAGTGTATTTATAGTCAGCCAGCCTAGGTATGAGGCATTTAATGCCTTGTCAAGCGGCCTAAGCACACTTGACTTTACCAGGACCGCCTTCGGCGGGCATTAAATGCCCAGTCCTGCTGTGTACGAGGTAAGAATCCTAGGGAGATCTACCTTCCTGACACCAACGGTCTCCTGTGTCAGTCAGCCTACTTTCCGTCACCTCATAGGGCGGCCGCCTGTGGGGTCTCTTTTCCCCATGTCTCCTCGGGCTTCTCTCCTTGACTTGGTCCCTTCCTTTGGGCTTAGCCTCTGCCTCCTCGTGGGCCTACACGGGCCTCTTAGGCCCAACACAGCTTAACTATGAGCCCAACACTAATAGACTTAATCATCGATGGAGAATAGGATCAAAAGACTTCATTATCTGTGGAGAATAGCTTGGGCTGAATCCAAGATCTCTAGCCTAAAAAATAGAAAATAAATGGCAATTGAGGAAACTCGTCCGAAATCTGTGATGGTACGCCTTTGGAGTTCGCCAAAAATGGACCAAGAAGAAATCCGCCCAAATCGATGCTTAATGGAATTAATCATCATTGAAGGTTAGCCTTAGGTCGAATCAGTGATCTGTAGCCACCAAAATCTAAGGAAAATGACCTTTCGAAAAAAAACAATAAATGTTTTTTATGAAATTGCCATCCGAAAATGAATTCGCTAAAATCAATGCCTAATGGACTTAATCATCGATGGAGAATAGGATCAATTGACTTTATTATCGGCGGAGAATACCAATAGGCTGAATCTATAATCTGTAGCCTTCAAAATAGAAAGAAAATGACATTTAGGGAAAATTACCTGAAATCTGTGATGGTACCAATTTGGAGTTCGCAAAAAATGGACCCAGAAGAAATCTCCCAAAAAATTCCGAAAATGCCATCCGAAAATGAATTCGCGAAAATCGCTGGCTAATGGACTTAATCATCGGTAGAGAATAGGAACAATAGATTTCATTATGAGTGGAGAATAGACTTGAGCTGAATCTGTGATCTGTAGCCTTGAAAATCGAAAGAAAATGGCATTTCGAGAAAATTGGACAAAATCTGTGACGATTACCCCTTTGGAGTCTACCAAAAATGGACCCAGAAGAAATCTACCCGAATCGGTGCTTAATGGACTTAATCATCGTTGAAGAATAGCCTCATGCCGAATCCATGATCTACAACCTTCAAAACACAAGGAAAATGGTCTTTAGAAAAGAAATCGCCAAAAAAATTACAAAAATGACATCCGAAAATTGATTCGCTCAAATTGGTGTCTGATGGACTTAATCATAGATGGAGAATAACATCAATTGAATTCATTATTGGTATAGAATAGCCTCGGGCTGAATCCGTGATCTATAGCCTTCAAAATAGAAAGAAAATGACATTTCGAGAAAAAACGCGCGAAATCTGTGAAGGTACACCATTGGAGTTTGCCAAAAAATGACCTGGAAGAAATCCACCCAAATCGGTGCTTAATGGACTTAATCATCGTTGAAGAATAGCGTCAGGCGAATCTGTGAACTGTAGCCTTCAAAATCCAAGGAAAATGGCCTTTCGGAAAAAATTGCCCAAAAAATTATGAAAATGCCATCCGAAAATGAATTCAACCAAATCGGTGTCTAATGAACTTAATCATCGGTGGAGAATAGGATCAATAGAATTCATTATCAGTGGAGAATAGCCTCGGGCTGAATTCATGATCTCTAGCTTTGACAGTCGAAAGAAAATGACTTTTTGGGAAAATCGCCAAAAATCTGTGATGGTATCCCTTTGTAGTATATGCCAAAAATGGACTGGGAAGAAATCTGCCTTAATCTGTGCTTAAAGGACTTAATCATCGTTTCATAATAATCTCTGCACAAATCCCTAATTTGTAGCCATCAAAATCCTAGAGAAATGGTCATTCGGAAAAAAAAATTACGCAAAAAATTACGAAAATGTTATCCGAAAATGAATTCGCTCAAATCACTTCCTAATGGACTTCATCTTTGGTGGAGAAGAGGGATCAATAGACTTTGTTTCAGCCAAGAAACAAGGAAGCTTCGGATCTGTGAAAGGGCGGGGATGGCCCCCATTATCTACACTCCAACGATCAACATTAGTATAGTGATTGGGAAACATGGAGAGCATGAGTAGAGAGAGAAGTGATATGTCAAAGTAAGAAGAGGAGAAGAAGATCCCTTACTTGGAAGACCTAAAGGTATATTTATAGGTCAAGCCTTGTCACCCTTCATTGGGCTTTCATTGGGTCTTTGTGGGCTTGGGCCCATATGCGCTTGTGGATTACCGCTATTGTTCGAGTTGAGCCGTGTCATATTTACGGGTCCAACAATTGTCCTCCAGTTAGGTATCCAATAGTATATTGGATGCCTAACTAAAATCCTTTATGTTATCACATCCTTTGTATTTTGCTTCTGGCGTATGACGTGTATGCACTTCTTGTCCCCGGCTAACTGATCTATGCCCCCATGATCATAATAGCTTAAGAATTTGGAGCAAGAACCATGTAGAGAAAGAACTACGTAACATAATGTGACTCATTACATGGTTAGCGATATAACTCAAGCAACGAGGGGAAAAAAATACTTATTACACATCTGATGTCTAACAAGAATGATATTTTCGACGCATAATTGACCATTTGTTCGCCTTGAAAAGTTGTTGAATGTGCATGTGCATGTTATCCCCAATTGTCCCCCGGTTAGGCGCCCAGTGGTGCACTGGACGGCTAACTAAAGACCCCCAGTTGTCAAGTTTCATGTAAGATCATTTGGTGTTTTGTCCCCCGTTCATGTCCCCCATTATCATATTAATTGCACAAGAAGACGATCACAAATGTACTAAGTGATGCAACATAATTTGATTTATACAATAACTGGAATATAATTCGAGTAGGGATTGGAGTGCCTCAACAATTGTCGCCCGGTTAGGGATCCAGTAGGGTATTGGATGTCTAACTAGAAGGCTTCATTTTGCAAGTTTTCCCGCAAACTCATGTTGAGCAGGACGTCTACACGCCTTTTTGTTCCCAAGTGAGTGTGCTCATTCCCCGACGTTATACTAGATTTACAAAAGAAAAGAATACATGCAATATAAACGATGCAATATAATGTTATTCATACCATGGACTTCAAGCACCAATTAGAAAATTTATGGATGTTGATAATTTTCAAATATATATGTTGTCTCTCCCAATTGCTCCTAGGCGTTCAGTGATACCCTTATACATACCTAGAAGTATTCAAATGATAAAGAAAACTAGTATAATGCTGGGAAATTACCCCAAAGATAGTAAACTCGTAGAATTTGAAATATGCACAAGTTATAAAGAGAATTTATGTAGGGATAACGAAACTTAGCTTAATCCTTGATGTGGTTCGTTGTAAACGTATATCAAATAAATGGATAAGGATGGAGTCGGAGCTCAAACATGCCAATTAAATTCAGGCGCCGTCCCACATGGATCACCAACTTGCTCTTCAACTTGACTGTAATATTTACTCCCAAATCACTTTTTGAGTGATTTTGGTGTTATAGCTCTGCGCTTCCCTTTGGGTATGGAGTCAGTCTCAAGTCGCAGGCGCTAACTGTGTTGAGAGTGTAGGAGTTTGCTCTGACACCAACCAACCAACCAATGGGCGCTTCCCTTTGAAATTGGAGGCGCATGGTGTTTTTATCAGTTTCAGATGTCGAGAATCATGCACCTAGTTTCTTTCTCCAATTTTGTTGCCGCTCCCGTCTATGAGTCCAATTTCACGACGCCGAGCAGTTGTGCAACAATTTCTATGGTTGATTTTATTCCTACCATGCGCTTGCATTCATTTTTGCGCTCAAGAATGAAGTGCTCTCCACCATCATGTGAAATGGCCACTCTTTAATCCCACCGCGTCACATTTTTTTTTTAACAAGGCGCTAAGTTTGGGCGTGGAGCATATTTCGAACCAAGGGAGCTAGGATTGGGTGCTAGAGTATTTCAAACCAAGGGGCTAATTTTTGGGCGCGAAGAGTATTTCCAACCAAGGGCGCTATATATTGGGCGCGTAGATAATTTTAGACCATGGGCGCTATGCTTGGGCACGAAGAGTATTTCCAACCGATGGTGCGAATTTTGAACGCTGAATGTATTTCCAATCAAGGCGCTAATTTTGGACGCGGAGAGTAACACCAATCAATGGCGCTAATTTTTGGACGCGAAGGATAACAATGGTGCTATGTTTGTGTGCCGAGACTATTGAAAAAGTAAAGCAATATTTCATTGAGGTAAAATTAAACTACGCAGATAAGTAGAGTACTTAGCTTAATTTTGATTCTGATACGAAGTCCACGGATCTGGTCAATAATGGGAGCCCGCAACAGCTTCTCCAAAAATAACTGCAGCCTAGTGGATGCGTTTCTTGTCTTCATGGGAGGAGGTGCTGGGTTCGATTCCTCATCATGCACTTACATTTTAGTTAGTGCATTCGGGCCTCAACATAAGTGAGCGCCTTGGGCCACATTTAGACCAGATCCAATCCGCCTGCGCAAGTGAGGCTGGACGCTTTGTATGCCTCAAACCTAAAAAATCAGTGAGCGCCTTGGGCCTCGTTTATACCGGAGATTGTGTGACTGGGCGCTTCGTGGGCCTCAACATAAGTGAGCGCCTTGGGCCACATTTAGACCAGATCCGATCCGACTGTGCAAGTGAGGTTGGACGCTTTGTAGGTTTCAAACATAAAAAATCAGTGAGCGCCTTGGGCCTCGTTTATACTGGAAATTGAGCGACTGGGAGCTTCGTGGGCCTCCAACATAAGTGAGCGCCTTGGGGCTCGTTTATATCGGATCTCATCCGCCGATGTAGGACTAACTTGTGAGCTAATGTTGAAACTGGGCGCTTTTGTTGGCCTGATCTGGAAAATTATTCCCCATATTTCACCCTTTATTTTGTTCCTTTCTCTCTCCTTCCTTTTACACTTCCTTTTTGCATTGATTCCGTCTTTACATATAAAGAACCAGGCGCTTGCTTTCAATTCCTCCCTTCCTGGGCTTCTCCAAAAAATACGAATGACGCTCAAATCAGCTCTTATGCATTTCCATCAGCGTCGGCGTCCCCAGTTCCATCGCTTGTCGAGTTGATTTCGAGCCAAGGCGCCTGCTACTTGATCGCATGTGCGATACGTGACTCCTCATTTTCTCCTCTCTCTCTTAGTCTAGCGCCCTACATCTGTTTGTTTTTTGAAGCCCAAAAAACAAACGATCTCGGTAACATTCCGCCTATGCGCTTATTCGATTAGCGCCCAAATGTCGTGTCGAAGGCGACTCTTTCCTCCAACCTAACGCTTGACCAATCCAGAGTTCCATCGCTTTGTCACTGGATCTCCGGCGTCATGCACATCCCCGTCCGACAAAAGCTCAGATCGTTCCTTTTCTCCTTCTGGCTTTGGATCCGCGTCCCCTGGAGCTTCCATGAGAAGGATTCCTCCACTTCGTTCCTTCTTTCTTTTGGTAAGAGGAAGATTAAAAAGTGCTTCAAGAGATGCCTCATTTTTTCCCCATAAAGTACAACCATAAACAGATCTGGGGAGCTTCATGAACACACAAAAAGCCAGATCTGGGTTTTTGTAGAAGGGGTGCGACAAGGACAAACTTCCTGATGTTTCCTCCACAAAACCAGCTAAGAAAATGAGCGATAGATCTACCTCCCTTCCTTCTCTGCTGGCGGGATTCAGGCTAAAAAGTTCCAAACATAGACTGAGAGCAGATGGAATGACCGACGGTGAGAATCGGATTTGGGCGTTCCAAACATTTCGCACTTTTTTTTCTCGAAAGCAAGCAAAACAAATTGGTAGATCCGCTTTTATCTTTTCCCGACCCCCTTCTGTTCGTTCCCCAAAGAGCTGGAAAGTATATTGCCATTCGCCGCCCTCTCAGAGATCAAATACATCAAACCAGCAGTAGTATAGTGACGCCCCTTCCTGGCGCGCCAATTGTTTCAGCCAAGAAACAAGGAAGTTTCGGATCTGTGAAAGGGCGGGGATGGCCCCCATTATCTACACTCCAACGATCAACATTAGTATAGTGATTGGGAAACATGGAGAGCATGGGTAGAGAGAGATAGTGTAGAGAGAGAACTGATATGTCAAAGTAAGAAGAGGAGAAGAAGATCCCTTACTTGGAAGACCTAAAGGTATATTTATAGGTCAAGCCTTGTCACCCTTCATTGGGCTTTCATTGGGCCTTTGTGGGCTTGGGCCCATATGCGCTTGTGGATTATCGCTATTGTTCGAGTTGAGCCGTGTCATATTTACGGGTCCAACAGACTTCATTGTCGATGGAGAATAGCATCAAGCTGAATCTGTGATTTGTAGCCTTCAAAAACAAAAGAAAATGACATTTCGAGAAAATCGCCCTAAATATGTGATGGACACCTTTGGAGTTCGCCAAAATGGACCCAGAAGAAATCCACCCAAATCGGTGCATAATGGAGTGAATAATTGACTAAGAATAGGCTCATGCCGAATCAATGGTATGTAGCCATCAAAATCTAAGGAAAATGGTTTTTCCAAAAAAATCGCCCAAAGAATTAGGAATATGCCATCCGAAAATGAATTCACCCAAATAGGTGCCTAATGGACTTAATCAACGGTGGAGAATAAGATCAATAGATTTCATTATCGGTGCAAAAAATGTACCTGGAAGAAATTCTCTTAAATCGGTGCTTAATGGTATTCATCATTGTTGAAGAATAACCTTAGGCCGAACTCGTGATATGTACCCATTCAAAATCCAAGGAAAATGGCCTTTCGAAAAAAATCACCCAAAAAATTATGAAAATTCCATCGATAAATGAATTTGCTCCAAATCACTGTCTAATGTACTTAATCATCGATGGAGAATAGGATCAATAGACTTCATTATCTGTGGAGAATAGCCTCAGGCGGAATCTGTGATCTAGAATCTTCAAAATAGAAAGAAATGACATTTCAGGAAAATCTCCTGAAATCTGTGATGGTACCACTTTGGAGTTTGCCAAAAATGGACCCAGAAGAAATCCGCGCAAATTGGTGCTTCATGGACTTAATCATCGTTGAAGAATAGCCTCAGGCCTAATCCGTGATCTGTAGCCTTCAAAATCCAATGAAAATGGCCTTTCGAAAAAAAATCGCCAAAAAGATTGTGAAAATGTCATCAGAGGGCTGTGTGGCTGGGTCTCCCCCGGCCCGCAGTCATTCAGACACCAAAAAAAATGTCATCAGAAAATGAATTCGCCCAAATAGCTGCCTAATTGGCTTAATCATCAATGGATAATAGGATCAATAGACTTAATCATCGTTGAAGAATAGCCTCAGGCTGAATCCGTTATCAATAGCCTTCAAAATCTAAAGAAAATGGCATTTCGAGAAAATTGCCCAAAATCTGTGATTGTACTCCTTTGGAGTCAACAAAAAATGGAACCGGAAGAAATCCGACAAAATCGGTGCTTAATGGGCTTAATAATCGTTGAAGAATAGCCCCAAGACGAATTCGTGATCTGTAGCCTTCAAAATCCAAAGAAAATGGCCTTTAAAAACAATCGCCCAAAAAATTAAGAAAATGTCATCCGAAAATGAATTCGTTCAAATTTGTGCCTAATGGACTTAATCATTGGTGGAGAATAGAGATCAATAGATTTCATTATCAGTGAAGAATAGCCTCAAGCTGTATCAGTGACTTGTAACCTTTAAAATCAAAAGAAAAAATGGAATTTCGGGAAAATTGACCGAAATCTGTGATGGTACCCCTTTGGAGTCCGTAAAAAATGGAACCGGAAGAAATTCGCCCAAATCAGTGCTTAATGGTCTTCATCATAGTTGAAGAATAGCCTCAGGTCAAGTTCGTGACTTGTAGCCTTCATAATCCAAGGAAAATGGTCTTTCGAAAAAAATTGTCAAAAAATTACGAAATTGCCAATCGAAAATTAATTCTCTCAAATCGGTGTCTAATGGAGTTAATCATTGGTAGAGAATAGGATCAATAGAGTTCATTATCGGTGGAGAATAGCCTGGGTCTGAATCCGTGATCTGTAGTCTTCAAAATCAAAAGAAAATGGCATTTCAGGAAAATCGCCCGAAATCTTTGATGGTAACCCTTTGGAGACTGCCAAAAATGGAACCGGAAGAAATCTGGCCAAATCTGTGCTTAATGGACTGATCACTTGAATCTGTGCATCATATTGACAGTGGTTTGCACTATCAACAACTATCCCATCATAAGCCAAGTTTAACCTACGACGACATTGTCGTATAGTGGTAATCAATGTCATATTCTGCTCGGGTCCTGGTACCCTAGCCTACTTCCCACCTTGTTGTAAATTAGGTAATCGGTTTTTGAGGTATTGAGTGGAGGATATGAGGAAACACTAGTATAGAGGTTGATCAAAGCTAAATGCAGGTATTTCGGGGAACTAATCCTCCCCCTAGCTTAGGGATACTATGCATGTATAGATACTTAGGGTTATCGAATGTGGTGAGTGAGCTCTTTTCTGTTGGGCTTCGTCATTATCCATACGCCTCCCCTAAACCCATGTTTCAGTCACCTCGATCTAGGCTGTCGTATCTAGAGCTTTAAGCTTATGACTCATTTCAATGGACACTATCCACCATCTACACCAAGATTTCATTTGAGGTTTCATCTAGGAGGGCTACCTATAGCAGGAGTTCGGTCGCCTCGACCATTATAGGCCCCCATTCACTCATCTAACCTAAACTCGCCAGATGGCACATACCCGTCTAACTCTAGAACTCCGTACCCAGTGTAGTAGCATAAAGTAGGCTAAGAGAGAAGATTAAGGCCTATTGCCCAAGAGTCATCATTTAGGAAAGACTGACATTAAAAATATACTAATTCATTCATTCAAACCCTAAAATATCCATACATACATAATAAACCCTAAAACTAGCGTTTGGGGTTTCAAACCCCTAGTACCTTAGATGACTACTCAAAGGATGGAAGAAGATACATGGTAGAAATAGAGCCAGACTTGAGGTAGAAGATGCCTCCTTGCTCCTCCATCTCCCTTCAGCTTCTCTCTCTTCTCTCTCTCTAGAACCAGAAATTTCACCCAAAATCAGCTCACTTGAAAAAGGGGGAATGAGTCTTCTATTTATAGGCAATGTGGCTTCGGGGAAGTTCCCGGCCCGAGGCAGGGAGATCGCGGCCGTGATATTTGGTCACTAGGTCGTGATCTCAAAACGTTTTTTCGAGGCCTTAAGCACGGGGGAGATCCCGGCCTGACTTCGCGGTCGCGATCCTTAAGTCGCGACCGTGATCTTCCTCACGGGCATTTTGAAAATTGACCTTGATTCGACTAGAGAAAGTCTCTGCTCCTCCATGGATCCTTTCTTGCGAAGTTCACAGCCTAGGCCTCCAAGATCGCGGTCGCGATCTTTGGCTTCTGGACCGCAATCTTCGACGAATCTCACGACTGAAGATCCTAGTCGTGCTCTTTGGCTTCTAGGCCACAATCTTTGATTATTGCCCTTTTCTACACTTGTGACCTTGTTTTGTACCTAAATTGCACATATTGACAAATACACCCTATAATCACATCAAAATCAAATCGGAACGAAATAGAGATGTATTTGACAATGTTTAAACGCTTAAGCACATGAATTGGCGCAAAACATACCCTAAGTTAGAGGATAAATAACACCGATTTTGGTGTTATCGCAGACTTAATCATCGTTGAAGAATAGCCTCAACCCGAATCCATGATCTATAGCCTTCAACATCTAATGAAAATGGCCTTTAGAAAAAAAGCACAAAAAATTACGAAAATGTTATTCAAAAAATAGTTCGCCCCAATCGCTGCTTAATGGACTTAATCATCTATGGAATATAGAATCAATAGACTTCATTATTGGTGAAGAATAGCCTCGGGCTGAATACGTGATCTATAACCTTCAAAATAGAAAGCAAATGTCATTTCTGGAAAATCGCCCGAAATTTGTGATGGTACCCCTTTGGAGTTTGCCAAAAATGGACCTGGAAGAAATCCGCCCAAATCGGTGCTTGATGGACTTAATCATCCTTGAATAATAGCCTGAGCCCTGAATCCGTGATATGTTGTAGCCTTCAAAATACAAGAAAAAGGCCTTTAGAAAAAATCGCCCAAAAAATTACAAAAATGCCATCCAAAAATGAATTCGCCCAATTTGCTGCCTAATGGACTTAATCATCGATGGAGAATACGATTAATAGACTTCATTTTCTGTGGAGAATAGTCTTGGGTTGACTATGTGATTTGTAACCTACAAAATTGAAAGAAAATGGCATTTAGGGAGTTCTTCAATCGGCAGTAGTGAATTGTTTATAAGAGAGTTAGTCGATTCACTGCTTTGTACTAGAATCCAATTCCAGTAGTGGAGTTCTCTGTTAATCGCCTCAGTGTTCTATCTCGGTGAAGACTAGTCATCTCCCGGGTAGTCTGTCTGAGAGGGCATGGTCAGCTTAAGAGATTCCAAGATACTGCGGATCTTCCGCAGTTTAATCAATAGTAGATCAATCAAAAGGAAATTACAACTTTGACCTAACTAAGGAGCTAGGGGGACTCATTCCCGAGTGACTCTTCCCTTGCTTAAGAACTTCGAACAATTTCCTGCGTACTTACTACTTTTGTTTACAATCACTCTCACTACACTTAGTCCCGCTAGATAACAGGTAGTCACGGAGTAGGCAGTAGACCTACACCCCGGGTTGATAGATTGAACTTGCCACTATTTTGCATTATTGGTGGAGAATAGCCTCACAGTGAATCTATGATTTGTAGCCTTCAAAATAGAAAGAAAATTGTATTTCTGGAAAATCGTCCGAAATCTGTGATTGCACTTCTATGGAGTCCGCCGAAAATGGAACCGAAAAAAATCCGCCCAAATCGGTGCTTAATGGATTTAATCATCATCGAAGAATAACCTCAGGATGAATCCGTGATCTATAGCTGACTCGTCCCGAATACCACAATAAAACTCCCAATGAAGGCCCAAGTATAAACCTTAATTGGGTGCAATGTAGGGTAAGTATGTTTAAATGTCGACCCGGGCCAGTTCATGTACCCCTACTTCTATTGTTTGAAACATTATCTAGCGGTTGATTTTTGGAGAAGGCTTCTCTAATTGGATTTGACACTAATTGAGAAGGTTTCACCAGGGTGTTGCTCCCCTAGCTAACAATTATGATTTGTCGGATCAAATGGTCACGTGTGGTAAGGTGGTTGTAAACTGTAAGGAAGTGCAACAAGTAGCCAAACGCCACTCTCTCGGTCTCTAGGTCGAGGGAATTCGATTCAAACCACCAACCTGACTCTCTAGATCTATTGACTAAGGGTTGTGATAGACCAATAATACACATGTTTATACCTCCATTCTCGAGCCGTTTGAGAGTCGATTCTAGTGTTTTAAGTCGATTTCACGCTAGGTTGTGTGTTTATGTCATATTTCAGGACTTGGCGTTGACGTGAAGGCGAGGAAACGAGTTTAGGGTCAAATGGAGGACGTTTGAGTAGAAGGGCGTTGGTAGAGCAAAATACCCGGGCAGGAGTGAAAATACTTGGCCGGGTAAAATGCAATGGGAGGCCGGGGGAAGCTGATTTTGGACGCCAAGAAGCAAGAGGGGTCCCGGCCAGAGAGAAAAAAAATACTCGATCGGGTATTCTGGACCTCGATCGGGTATTAACCCTGTACCGCTGCGCTGGGTTCAAAATCCCCGGCCGGTCCCCTGAAATACCCGACCGGGGATTACGACCGGGGATCGCGAACAGCTGGTTCTTAAGGGATAGAAGGCCAATTTTGCAAGAGTTCCGAGTTTTAGAGAGAAAAAGCTGATACCTAGAGAGAGAAAGTGACAAACCTGATTCTCCAAGTGCCCTAGATCGATCTTCATCACCATTGGAGACTGGCTTGAGGTTGAAGAACTACTGATTTATTGCTAGAAGCAGAATCCCATCTTTCACAGTACGGTTTCCGCGTCTGAGCTAGATTTCTCGTCTCTCTCTATGGAGTAACTTTCTCATTCACCTGGGTATGAAGAACTCTAGATTTGAATGTTAGGTCTGATTGTATGAACCCAAGTATGAATTCAGTGATATGATTATATTAAATTGAGGTTTGATTTCTTGAATGGCATGAATAGTAATCAAATTCCTGTTATTTCTGCTTTGACCTAGAAAGAGAATATCTGCCTAGGTTGATAGAGCACCCTTGATTGAAGATAGTGAGATGACGACTTTAGTCGAGCAGTAAATTCACTATTTTGTACCGGATTTACTCTGGTAGAGGAGGTTTGGTTCGTTAGGGCCTCAATATATTTATCCCGGTGGAGGTTATTCGCCCGCTGGGGACTCAGATTGAGAGGGTCAGGAGACCTCTAGTCGATACTGCAGACTGTTTAAGAACCTCCTGCAGTATAACTATCATTGAACTTGAACTTGGTAAATTACAACCTGGCTTAACTGCAGTCTAGGGGGAACCATATCCAGGTGACCTCTCTCAACTTGAACACAACTTTCACTGCTTTGCTTGCTAGTTTAATTGAATCTTCACTGCACTTGAACCGCTAGATAACAAAACTTTCACGGAGTAGTCACCACACCTAGGACTCGGGTTGACATTTATAACTGGACCCGCTATACTACGCATTAGTAGGTGGTTGCACTTGGCCACTTTCTAGTGTGACGGTAGAGGCGTGTCAAGTTTTTGGCATCGTTGCCAGGGACGGCTAGGTTGTTTAAGAAACGTGATTTTTGTTACTTTAGCATTTCCATTTCTGCATTGATTGTTTGCTTTTTCCCGCTTGTGCCTTTACGGGTTTGCTTGCTTGGTTGTGTGCAGGTATTGCATGACCTGTAGCCAGTCGGGAGGTTTACTACCGTTAGATCCAGAGCTAGAACGCACATGTCTTCAACTAAGGAGACAACAACGAGCGAGACTGGCTACGGAGGAAGTGCGCATCGACGGCCACTTGAGCAACGATTATGAAGGAGGAGTACGAGATGGACGGTGCGCAAAACCCGCCTCAGGGGATGCCTCTCTAGGTTCCCCCAGTGAATTAGATCCTGGGGAACAACCCAGTTCCCCTGGCAGATGGGGCTCAGCATTAACCACCGCCGCAGGGTCCTACCATGGAGTATTACTACACTCCACGGGTCGCCGACATCCGCCTTGTCATCCTTTATCCGCACATTCCAGCGAGAAACTTTGAAATCAACCCATGCCGGATTCAACTGATTACATCCTCTATCTAGTTCCATGGCTTGAAGGATGAGGAGGCGCGGGTGCACCTTTCTCGGTTCTTGCAACTGACAAATGGATTCAAGATGAATGGTGTACCCGATGATGTGATCTGTCTCCACCTTTTCTTCCATTCTCTGGCGGGGCATGCGAAGAGGTGGTTGGAGACCCAGCCCCACTATCCATAACATCGTGGGACGACTTGGCCGATAAATTTGTGCACCGGTATTATCCGGCCTCGAAGACCACAGAGATTCAGCGGGAGATCACTCATTTCTGCCATGAGCCAGATGAGTCACTACGTGATCCCTGGGAGAGGTACTCGGGATTCTTCCGACAGTGTCCCCATCACGGCTTTAGTGATGCATTCACAGTGGGGCCAGGAGCAGTTGGACTTCATCTCTAATGCTCGGCGCCTTGATCCTTACAGTGGTACATATAATGAAGGGTGGCGCCAGCATTCCAACTTATCCTGGAATAACAACAACACCACTAAACCACTTGGTTTCCCAGCACCAATAGATGGTTTTCAGCAGAGGCAGCCCTTCCAGGCCATGCAGGGTCCATTTCCGTAGCAGCAGCCTTACCAGCGCAGACAGGGGCAACCATTTCAGGAGCCGCAACGCCAGTATGCCGAGCCACCACCAGCTCCATCCCCAGATAATCAGGTAAGCGAGCTGAAAAACATTCTGGCTGCGTTCATGACTACCAGCCAGGAAAATTTTGCCAAAATTGCCTCACTGGAGGAAGGTCAGAGGAACCAAGGTGCCATATTACAGGACCTCCAAAATAAGATTGGAGGAATAGCTCGTCAGAATAATACCAGTGCACCGGGAACTCCTCCTGCCACCACCGCCTCCAATCTGCGGGAGCCTCACCATCAGCTGAATGCCATCACTACCAGGAGAGGCAAGCCAATATCGAATGTACCTGCCCCGGCCAGACAGGAGGAGCCACTACATGCTTCAGCACTTCCAGCCGACGATGTAGAAGTGAGGATGGAGAAGTAAGCACCTGCTCCTAAGCCACAGTCAGTGGTTAAGGAGCATGTTCCCCAGCTTCTCGTCCCCACTCGACTACACAAAGACAAGCTGGAGAGTGAGTTTGCCAAATTCATGGCAATGCTGAAGCAGGTCAACATCAGCCTGCCATTCGTGGAGGCACTGTCGAAAATGCCTAAGTACGCAAAATTCATGAAGGATCTACTTACCAACAAAAAGCGACTTGGGGATCTCTCGACAGTGATGTTGAGCGAGGAGTGCTCGGCGATTCTGCAGAGCAAGCTTCCAGAAAACCAGAAAGACCCAGGTAATTTCTCTATCCCGTGCTCCATTGGCACATTACATATAGAGAGGTCCCTGGCGGATCTAGGTGCTAGTATCAATGTTATCCCATACAAATTGTTCAAAAAACTAGGACTAGGTGAACCCAATGCAACTAGGATGAGTATTCAATTAGCTTACCAATCTGTGGTTCATCCTAGGGGTATAGTGGAAGAACTCCTGGTTAAGGTTGGCAGGTTTTGTTATCTTGTGGATTTTGTTGTCTTAGACATCAATTAAGACACAGAAGTGCCACTTATTCTAGGAAGGCCCTTCCTGGCCACCTCCATGGCCCTCATAGATGTCAGTGATGGGAATTTGGTTTTGAAAGATGGCGAGGAGCAGATAACTTTCTCTATTGCTAATAATAATATGCATGCTGCCTAGCTTCTGCATGCTATTTCTCACCAGGTGCACCAGCCTGTCGTGTATCCGTTTGTGCCTCTCATTTTGCAGGACCCCCCTCTCAATCCTTCGCCGCCACTCCCTTCGACCTCACTACCAAATAAAACGATCAAGGAGGAGTGGCGGCCGAAGCCGCAGGTGGCTAAGCATGCTCGGAAGAAAGCTGACGAACACTATGAGTTGGTCCCACCTCCTAATTCACGACCTCCCTGGCCATCCGAGTACTCACTTGCTTGCATCCTGCCGGATGGCCAGGTCGAGCTGACAAATGCTGGTGGTCACACCATTCGGGTGCATGGCCACCATCTGAAGCTGTATCTCAAGAGCGATGTGGATCCGCTCTTGGAGGCAACTGTTCCTGCACCACTCTGAGCATCCACCATGGGCGTCCAGCTAATAGACGGTAAAGAAGCGCTTGTGGGGAGGCAACCCCACCACAGTTTGCATTTCTTTTTCCCTTTTTCTGTGTTTTGTGTCGTCTTTGAGTCAGTTGCATGTCTGTGCTGAAGTTCGGTCGTCTGGTATGCCTCGTTTTGATGTTTTCGTGCAGGGGAGTTCGAAAAAATGAGAAAAAGGGAGCTTTGGCCGCGAAGGGTAAAATACCCGGCCGTGACTCAAAATACCCGACCGGGTATTTTGGCCTCGCGGCCGGGACCCCTTCTGTTTAGGGGGGCGTCAATCGAAATCCACGACCGGGTATTTTGGCCTCGCGACCAGGACCCCCCTGTTCCTGATTGGCGATTCAGGAGGAATACCCGACCGTGGCCTCGAAATACCCGACCGGGTATTTTTGAGGCCCGACCGAGTATTTTGCCTATAAAAGCTAACCCCCAATCAGAACTTTCTCTCTACAATTCTATTTCAGTTTCTAGGTGTGTTTCTTGCTCAATTTGCTCCCTCACCCTCTCCTCGCATCCCCTCTACAGTTCTATTTCAGTTTCTAGGTGTGTTTCTTGCTCAATTTGCTCTTTTCTGGAAAATCGGACTGTAGATTTTAGGACTGAGAACTGTGATCTGCCTAGCATGTTTGAATTAGAATAGGGTGAGGGATGTCGTGGTTATGATTGGCTAATATGTGATGCCCGGTTGCTTTAATGGGTCGTTTATGCATGGTTCTTGCTATGATTGCGGTTGTTTTGCTTGCAGTTCAACCGTTTTGTGCTTTTCATTTGCCCTAACTAGCTATTAAGTGTGGGAGAATTGTTGAACCCACGCTTGTGGTCCTAACGAGTATTTCTTGGCTCCACCTTTGGTTTGTTGATTTTGCAGGATCATGTCTCTCGACCACCCCTTCATGCAGGGCCTGCGCCTGCACCCGGAGTACGCTGACCAGTACCCCCAAGTCATCAACGGAGTGTTCCACCGCCATCACCACCTGGTGTGGAGTGTTTTCCAGCACCTTCACTGCATGGATGAGATCGCCGCAACCATCAACCACCCATAGTGGCGGACGCTCCTGAGCATCGAGGACTCTACGTACACAGAGCTGGTGTGAGAGTTCTACTCCACCTTCCAGTACCGCCCCAAGGCGGCCAGATACTCCCCCACCACGGTGACGTTTCGGCTCGGCGGCCATATGCGAGAGCTGAATATCGACGGGTTGGCCCAGGCACTGGGAATCCATTACCACCCGTTCTCCCACCATGAGAAGGAGGTCGCCCACCTAAAGGACTGGCTGCAAGACGTGTTCTACCAGAGCATCGCCCGTCCCGCCTACCATTTCGACCCCTTCGACGCTGTCCAGACCTATGTCTCCACCCTTCGGCCGGAATGGCACATCCTCAACCTTCTGCTCACCCGCTCGATCACGCCCAACGCCACCAGGTCACACTAGATACTGAAGAGAGTGCTGTATGCTAAGTACTCGATGGGGCGCCCTGACCACCTGCTGCACCTGGGGTTTGTTGTGGTCACCACCTTTGCTCGGTGGCATAGCAAATCCCCCCTACTTCTTTTATGGTCCCCCGATCACGAGGCTGGCGCGACATTTCGAGGTCCCTTTCGATAGGTTGACTGATGCCACAACACAGGGTGGTTCCACACCTATCATCCGGGAGGTGCTTCATAACGCCTACTGTTGGCTTCTGATGGCTGACGATCCTGGGTGGATGGGTTGTCCATGCCTCCCGAAGAGGATGAGGAAGATGATGATGAGGATGAAGAGGACGAGGACTACACTTGGGCGGATGATGATGATGATGATGGCGGGGCCAGGGATGCTGATGAGCCGGAGCCCCCGCTCTCTACACTAGGGGATCTTCAGCCACGACGGAGACCTGAGCGAGGCGAGTCCTCATCCGGTCCTTCTGGTCCATCGATGGACTTCTGCACGGAGCAGTTCCATCAGATGGGGGGCTCTTGTTTCAGCAGCTCGGGCTCTAGAACTAGCAGCTCATGGACAATCAAGTCCAGTTTTACCAGCAGTATTCGGCCCACTAGGCCGAGTACCAGTCGCGGATGACGGTTCTAGACGAGCGCCTCAATCGGATGGACGCCTCGATGGGGCACCCTGACCACCTGCTGCACCTGGGGTTTGTTGTGGTCACCACCTTTGCTCGGTGGCATAGCAAATCCCCCCTACTTCTTTTATGGTCCCCCGATCACGAGGCTGGCGCGACATTTCGAGGTCCCTTTCGATAGGTTGACTGATGCCACAGCACAGGGTGGTTCCACACCTATCATCCGGGAGGTGCTTCATAACGCCCTACTGTTGGCTTCTGATGGCTGACGATCCTGGGTGGATGGGTTGTCCATGCCTCCCGACGAGGATGAGGAAGATGATGATGAGGATGAAGAGGACGAGGACTACACTTGGGCGGATGATGATGATGATGATGATGGCGGGGCCAGGGATGCTGATGAGCCGGAGCCCCCGCTCTCTACACCAGGGGATCTTCAGCCACGACGGAGACCTGAGCGAGGCGAGTCCTCATCCGGTCCTTCTGGTCCATCGATGGACTTCTGCACGGAGCAGTTCCATCAGATGGGGGGCTCTTGTTTCAGCAACTCGGGCTCTAGAACTAGCAGCTCATGGACAATCAAGTCCAGTTTTACCAGCAGTATTCGGCCCACTAGGCCGAGTACCAGTCGCGGATGACGGTTCTAGACGAGCGCCTCAATCGGATGGACGCTCAGCTGGGAGTCACTCAGCTGGGATCGTAGCCGCCGGATGATGGAGTACCAGGAGCACCTGCTCCAATCCTGCCACCCGCTATAGGAGCACCACTGGACTACCCGGTGGGACCACTCACCGCCCTTGCCACCCCCAATAGATGGGGTTGACGACCTCATGGACCAGATCAACTTCAGCGGGCTCGAGTAGGTTGTACTCGTTGCTCGTTTTGTGCTGCTTTTGTTTTGATTCGGAGTGCAAACAGTCTTTTTTTTTGTTTATTTTCTTTTCTTTGGGATGATGTACTATTGGGCTGACAACGGGACCTAACATATTGTGGTTGAGTTCTTGTGTTCCCTTAGTTGTGCCTTTATACCGACTAGTCCCATTTCTAGTCCTCTTCACTCCGACTGGTCCACCTTCCAGTCCCACTGCAGTCTGATTATGTCGGTAACATAGTTCCCCTTGTCCTTCCCTCTTCTCCATTGAGGGCAATGTCGAACATAAGTGTGG